GGCTAAATATATATTAGTACCAAGATAGGGTAGGCCATAAAGACTTTATATACAGTGTACCAGTACCTCTGGTCAGGCTCGCTGACTTGGTTGACACATGACATCGTATCCCACCTGCGTTGATCAGTGCTCATGCTGTTGATCACTGGATTGTATTGTCTTGATTATTTACAGGCCACTGCCATACACTGGAATATTGCTGAGTGCAGATTTAAACAACAAACAAACTTGTCAGTGAAAAGAAAGCATGAGATGACAAAAAAGACCTTCATGAAATGTTTCTAATCATATGTCTGGGTCCCACATCAATAGAAGTGGCTACCAGCACTTCAGGTGCTCTTACATGCCATGGTAACATAGTCGGCTCCCAGAATGGTGCTTGCATCTCACAAAAAAGGATGTGATTATTCATTTGCTTCCATCTGATTTGGTGAGAATCACACAGCAACAGAAAGTGACTCTTGCCATGCGATGGTGTCGTGTCAAGTACCCATGGATATCGCAGCGGAACATCTTATATTAGATTTGATGAAGAAGAAATGTCATCCTGGATGTGTTCAACAGTAATGTCATGCATGGGAAAAGTTTATGAAACATCGAGGATTACTTTATGAAGTGTTTATGGCTCATCAATCATGCAGTTCATTATGAATGCATTAAATAATGCATTAATGGTTCATGAACAATACAATGCATGACTGAAGGTTATGAAGCATGTAATGCAGGGAGCATTATTTCTATGATGCATATGTATACTGTGCATGTAGGTTAGGATGCTTGTGTGTTAGGATGCTTGTAGGTTAGGATGCATGTAGGTTAGGATGCATGTAGGTTAGGATGCATGTAGGTTAGGATGCATGTTGGGTGTTAGGATGCATGTAGGTTAGGATGCATGTAGGTTAGGATGCATGTGTTAGGATGCATGTATGTTAGGATGCATGTAGGTTAGGATGCATGTGTGTTATGATGCATGTGTGTTAGGATGCATGTGTTAGGATGCATGTATGTTAGGATGCATGTTAGGATGCATGTGTTAGGATGCATGTAGGTTAGGATGCATGTAGGTTAGGATGCATGTGTGTTAGGATGAATGCATGTAGGTTAGGATGCATGTGTTAGGATGCATGTGTTAGGATGCATGTGTTAGGATGCATGTAGGTTAGGATGCATGTGTGTTAGGATGCATGTAGGTTAGGATGCATGTAGGTTAGGATGCATGTAGGTTAGGATGCATGTAGGTTAGGATGCATGTAGGTTAGGATGCATGTGTGTTAGGATGCATGTGGGTTAGGATGCATGTGGGTTATGATGCATGTGGGTTATCTCTGAACATGGTACTGCCATTAGACTTGCAGTGCAGTGATGTCACAGCATTGTGATGTCATCAAGTTTATGACATCATAGCATTGTGAGTCATGTAACTGATGATGTCTAAGCATTGTGATCGCATGTAATTGATGACATGAGGGCATTGTACAAAATCTACTGTCAAAACGATATCTCCTGGGAGATATCGTTTGATCTCACACTAGCAACATCTCCAGTGGAACACATTTTTGGATGACAAATACAGATTATTACACACACATAATTTTGCATGTATAAGTCGTATGACACACTTGCTCAAGTGTAATAATTTCTTTATTATCCATTTTATTCATGTTCAGCAAAACACCTCTTCATTGACGTCACCTTTGATTTTTCAATGACACCACAGACGACAAAATACAGAAACAATGGTTGCTTGGCAAAAGTGATATGTGAACATAGACACTGGTTATGTTTCACCATATGGGTAATAAATAGTATTATTCCATACTCTTGAATCATTTATACAGAATTTGATTTCAGCTGGGACACTACCATCCGAAGGGTGTCATGTCCATAAAACAAATTTACAATTGTGTTAGTAAAATTGTAACGGGGTAGTTCATCTGGCCTCCAATCTGATGGTGTTAGATAATGTAATTACTTCAGTGTTTATCAGTGACAATGGACTTATGGAGTCTTTGGGGATTAACAGGAAGAGTTACTATAAGTCATTGTCCTGGAAGATTGTCACACAGATCAACACTGATCTTAGAGGAATCGTTGTAGCCTTAATTTGAATTTGCAAGTGACAAAATGAGCCGATAACAATAAACTCACAGAGTCATTCCAGTCTATGTCCTTTCAACATTTCACACATCTGGTACTGGATCAATAGTAAGGCTTTTATACCTGAATGTGCTGCTGATGATAGCGTATATGGACAACAGCTTGATCAGTCTTTCACAGACCGATCCTGTGGGGTGATCCAAGGGACCTTCCCCTGCACCCACCTCTACTCTTTTTGAAAATCAATTATGATGTATATGCGACACTGACATTACCAGGAAACGGCTCATTATTGGTTGCCCTTCTTCCATCAGTAGTACAGATGAAGATGCAGAGTGATCTTTTTCAGCTCTGAGGCAATATAAGGTCCCTGAGAATCAGAATGGAAGGAGAGTGTCATGCAGGTCATCACCTGATGGACATTCTCCAGGATGTGTGTATTCAGAGGAGGAAGATTTACCAGTAGACTGATGCTTGGTCTCTCAATATGTATGATTTTGATAGAAACAAATAATTCTTTTGAAATTGAAAAGGAGCCCCAGTGATAATGGAGATTCAGACCCTGTGGAAATCTAGACTTGCTTCATTTATGGCTTAGCAATGCAGAAAGGGCAAGGCGGAAGGCAAATAATGCAGTTCAAGCGACAGACTATTTTGCCAACAGTTCCTTAAAAAAGAGACAATGTCTCATTCTTCTGCTCTGATTCTTACAAACACACACACACACACACACACACACACACACACACACACACACACACACACACACACACACACACACACACACACACACACACACGCACACACACACACACACACACGCACACAATTATGGTCATTTGAGCACCTCCTTTTGAGAAATGAGACTGTTAAACATTAGTCAATGTGCTATTCTTAATGTCAAACATGATTCAACGGAAATATTTCTCTTTCTCTTTTTTAGCACTCTTAATCATTGATTTTTCTAACGTTCTGTACATTCTGATGCCTTACATCAAGCCTATCAAACTGATTCATAAATCTACACCATCCTTTTCTCATACATAACAATGTCACAGTTGGTAGTTAACTATTCCGCACCTCTATATTGTGCAACCAACTGTTCTCTGTGATAATAATACAGCAATATTAATATCACTATTACTTGCTATATATATCCCACTATTACAGGCTATATTTATCACATACATCATGAGAGAAGACTAATCTTGGATGTTATAGCGGTATAAATCTCTGATAATATATTTCCTATATTGCTGGCTTTATTTGAGCAAAATTAATCTTGAGTCTTTTATATATAAGCCTGGCTTTTCTTCTTTTCACTAATCTTTGATCATCCTAATTCACACACATATATCTGGCTTTCTTCCCAAAGCTGATCATTAAAGCCATGATATATCTGGCTTTATTCCTTAGCACCTATAATGGATGTACGTACTTCATTCTCATATAAACTACACAAAATGTAAAATATGCATTATGTCGGAAAACGCACACTGAAACTTGAAATAATAATCATCATCATCATCATCATCATCATTGTCATCATCATCGTCATCATCATCAAAATGTAAAAGAACATTTTGTTATAAACCTAAAGTAAGTCTGATATCACTGGTCAGTAAGAACAACACTAGTGTTAAAGGAAAAGAACACTAATTCATTTTAAATGTATTTTACTTCAAGTCAATCATTCTTGTTTAAGAAATACAGTTCGCTTTACCACCATGTATAGTGTAATAAAACACTCTTTCGCCCTGAACTATTATAGTTTAAGTACGAGGACGCTTGCGTCCGAGTGCATTAACGTGATAATAGTTTGGGGCGAAAGTGTGCTTTATTACACTATACATGGTGGTAGAGTTTAACTGTATTTCTTTCTAAGATGCCAAATTTAATACTTTCTAAGGATAATTACGAATAATTTCAGGCAGAAAACAAACGACGGTGTCGGTGACCTAAATTAAGAATCCTTGCACAGGGCTAACTGGCGTGCTGTTCTATTGATGTGTCTGCCCCCCTACGTTAAGACAAACGTTACCAGAAAAAAACAAATGATAACAGTTTGATGACAGTTTACATTCGGATTAAATATCTTCTCTGAATTATTTTAATTACATCTGTCATTAACGTGAAAAACCAATATGAACGCCGTGATTTCTACTACCAACGAAGTTTAGATCAGTACATTCAGATGAAGCTGAGTAGTCAAGTTTTACATTCCACGCATTGCATTGTGGGAATGTAAACATTGCTAACCTTACCGTCGTCGCTGAAAACTTGTGAGTCGAATTGTCACATTTTAGCCGTCGGAAAACATAAACGTAATGTTTCCACCAGTGATGTTAGCTGGATGAAGCAACTGCAAACTAAGAAACGGGATGCAACGGAGTAGTTTACTGTAGGAGGCCGTACGAGGCGATGACAACTGACATGCATCGTGACGTTGCTTACATTGTGACGTAATTTAAAATGGTTCGATTATGAGGGGGCACACTAGAATGGCGCAGTGACGGGATAACGTCATTCAATTGTTACGTCATCAAAAAACTATACCTTTATTGTCTGATAATGTATTTTTTTTTTCGATTGTTCTAACCGCTAGGCATCTTAGAATTACCTTTACAGCTTCTTAAATTCTTAATTTTCTTATGTCACTAATCAAATCTTTAACCTCTTTACACACACTGCCAATGATGCATCCCTTCCTATGACCTTCACACTGAGTTTTCGAGCAGCGGGGTAGCCTAGTGGTTAAAGCGTTCGATCATCACAGCAAAGATCCGGGTTTGATTCCCCACATGGGTACAATGTGTGAAGCCCATTTCTGGTGTCCCCCACTGTGATATTGCTGGAATATTGCTAAAAGTGACATAAAACCAAACTCACTCACTCACTCACACTGAGTTTCACAACTGATTATTCAATAGCACACAACTGATTATTCAATAGCACACAACTGATTATTCAATAGCACACAACTGATTATTCAATAGCACACAACTGATTATTCAACAGCACTTACTTTTGCAATGAAGAGTGATAGGTGCTTATAGAAGACCAGCTTCAACTTTTACAGACACTTGGTGTCCATTCGGTTACAAGTTGAAATGGAATCAAGCAGACAGAAAATGTAATAATAATAATAATAATGTCTATTCATATTGCACTATGTTCCATCCACAGAGGTGCATGCTCAAGGCGCTACAATAGTCACAGATGAGAAGTTCACTTGAGGAAATCGTTCCTGGGGATAGAACTTTCTGAAGAGAAAGGGTTTTAGGCTGGTGTTGAATATCTCAGGGGTGGGGGATTCTTTAATAGTCTGAGGTAGTGAGTTTCATAACTGAGGTACTGCCACTTGAAACAATCTGTTGCCATAGGATTTTAGTCTGGAGTTTGGTACTGCAAGTAGGGGTTGGTTTTCAGACCTTAGACGTCGTGGTATGGTGAGATCAGTTCTGATAATGTAAACATGTAAACACAGCAAACATGCAGGCCCAGCTACAAACTCTGAAGACAAGAGAAATAAGGTATCTACTGGACCTCTGGACTCTTCTTGAAACAATATCAGGGTCTTGTGGTTGGGTATTCATGGTCTTGAATCCACTTTATTCATTTTAGCAATTAAATGGAATAGGTACTTAGAAAACAAAAACATAAAGTTTAGATAGACTGTATATATATTGTAAAATTTAATTACATATATAAATCATTTACAGTTTGTGTTTGAAAGCATATTTTACAGTCTTGGAACATAATCGTGCTCTTTAGATTAGAAACAGAATTGGATTTAGAGTTTCATATAGTCTTCATTGACCTTTTAAAAGTTCATCTTAGTTCATTTCAGGAGGTATCCAGGTATGAACAGCATCCAGGAACTGAAGTGGGTTTTCCATTTACAGCGGAGTTTTGCCAAGTCCAGACAAGATGTGCCAGTCCAGTCTTGGTCTATGACACCATGATCCAACTGCTGCCTCTTGGCCCTGTCCTTAATCTTCTTGATTTGCATCAGGAAGTTTCTTAATGTCCAGATGTGCCTCAGCTTTTTCATTTTTAGATGTCCATGAAAATGGTTGTTGCTTGAGGACCAACAATGTCATGGTGGTTCCAGTGTCATGGTGTCTACCCATGAGGTTGAAACATAATCAATGAAGAGAGGGGTCTGCTGGTGTTCTGGCCTCGCATTCATGATCTTGATCCAGGTATCCTCCGCTTTGTCAAGAAGATGAAGAGGTATGGCTGCAGCTAGTCTGAATTTTGGGCTCAATTTTGTCAGCATCAGAAAATCCTTTAGCTACTACCTGTCACCAAACTGCCAAAATGTGGAGTGGAAGAAGCTATCATAAATTCCAGCATCAAGAAATGCCTCCCCAAAGGCAGAAATAGATGTACTTTCAAACTACAGTATATCTGGACTCAAAGTTACATTTCAGTTTTTTAATCTCTTTTAATGTCTACTTATCAACTTGGACATACTTCTGTAAAGTGGGGGTGTAACATGCAACAAACTTGATCCAACATTTGAACTCTAAGGAGGTTGCATACAAAATATCAAAATGTCAAGAAATTGCTAAATTTGGTATCATTTTGTAGAAAAATGTGTCCCGAATATAATTATGGATTAAAAATAGCAAGTCACCCGGCATTTGTTTGACAAGTGGTGCCCCCTTGTGGCACCGTCTGTAAAAAGTAATATGTCAATAAAAGTTCTCTTAAAAGTAAATTGTTTACTTTTATTATTCAGTATGTGTTTTTTTATAAAGATATTTCAGTATTGATATGAAATAAAGCTGGAAAATCAATTTTCAAGGCAGTATGTAGGATTTGACACATTAATTAACTTCTAAAAAAACAGGAATTTAAAAAAAATATTGATTCATCAATGAAAAAAAGATTTTTATAATAAAAAAAGATTTTTATAATAAAACAAGATTTTTTCATAAAATGAATTATTTTATATAGTAAATTCACACTAGATTAATATTCAAGATAAAGGGAAATAAATAAAAAAATATGTATACCAGGTATCACGTACAATTATTGTCCCTTTGGCAATTCCAAAAACAGCATACCCAGTATTTTTATTGAATCATTAAATTTGATAAACCTTTGAGGGGAGATAACTCTTGCCCAGGTTTTGGCAAAGACATATCAGGATAAATGCTTGTGTGGTACTTCCATCTCAGGCTGCTCAGAGGTAACAAATACTGAAGTAACTGAATAATGCCATTATTCTGTTTAAACAGGGGGTTAATATACAGTATATATTAAACATGTTCAGTCTTAAGTATACAAGTTATTTCAGAAAAAAATATCATATGTTACCATTACTTTCTTCTCACACCAAGCCCTTTTTGCCAAATTTACAATTAAATATGTGAGAATAATGAAACGATTTAATTCATATTTTAAAATAGAAAAAGTTTGTAAAAAATGACAAATGTGAAAAATTCCTTATCTGACATCAAAGTTTGAAAAAGAATACTTTTATGCTTGTTACACCACTGATGGTTTTTTTCAGTGGATACTTTAAAAAAGTTTATTTTAAAAATATTTTATTACTTTCCTGTGTGCAAATTATCATGACCGCATTTTTTAATGTGTTGACCATTCAAAACAATAATGAGATAATTCAGTATGATGCTTTGTATTTTCATATTTTTCATAGCACGAATTTGGCCTTTTTTGAGAATGATCCATATATTAAAGGAGACAAAAGATGATACAAGAACACATGTGATTATTTCTGAAACATATCAAGCACTATGACTAAAATCAGTTGAAAACCTAAAAAAGGTCAAAATAAATTGAAAACTAAAGAGTGACACACTTGCAGAATGGATAATGTTACTTTGAGACCAGATTCTCTTTCAGAATACAACATGTTTTTTCAGCACTTAACACATGAAGACACACGCAGCAGCTCTGTCAGGTTTCTAATCAACGTATCCTTACACTTTAACATTAAGAATCACTCTGGAAAAACTCCGCCCATCTCCCTTCCCTGTCAACAAACACACGTCTTAAGTCCGCAACCACTAAACACCATCACTATCTCCTTATTCATTCAATTAATTGCCCTCATTCCACACCTCTTCTGTTTTAAATCAGCTCTTTCCACCTCAGTGTTAAGCTACGCCTGCTGAAGAACACATGTGTTGCCTGTGCTTTTCGTGTTAATTAAATGTAATCTTCTCAAAGCGTCTCCTCATGGTGCGGTACGGGTCTGTTCTCTCTTGTTGCTTTCATCTGTAATGTTAATACGTGAGAGACACGCCACTAGCTGATCCAGACCAGTTTCCAGACTGGTGTGGCTGAATGATTACACAGGCTGTATACCTCATGTTAACAATGCATCTGTTCCTGATTAATGTTTATGATGCAAAACATGTCATCATTACTGCTTGCATATTGCATAATGTTGCTTTTGTTGTATCTGCAAAGTCATCATGTTACAAGAGGAACATCCCTACAAGTGAGTGAGAGAATGATGTGTTTAACCAGAGACCATATACTAATATATGGTCTCTGGTTTAACCTTGCAGTCATATACTCCAGCTTTATCACTATGGACTGAGAGTGTGAGCACACACGATCAGTGTGTGATGTCACACAGGCCATTGACCTTGAACACTGTTACCAAACATCCCCATGTCACACAGGTCATTGACCTTGAGCACTGTTACCAAACATCCCAATGTCACAGAGGTCATTGACCTTGAGCACTGTTACCAAACATCCCCATGTCACACAGGTCATTGGCCTTGAGCACTGTTACCAAACATCCCCATGTCACACAGGTCATTGACCTTGAGCACTATTACGAAACATCCCCATGTCACACAGGTCATTGGCCTTGAGCACTGTTACCAAACATCCCCATGTCACACAGGTCATTGACCTTGAGCACTGTTACCAAACATCCCCATGTCACACAGGTCATTGACCTTGAGCACTATTACGAAACATCCCCATGTCACACAGGTCATTGGCCTTGAGCACTGTTACCAAACATCCCCATGTCACACAGGTCATTGACCTTGAGCACTGTTACCAAACATCCCCATGTCACACAGGTCATTGACCTTGAGCACTATTACGAAACATCCCCATGTCACACAGGTCATTGGCCTTGAGCACTGTTACCAAACATCCCAATGTCACACAGGTCATTGACCTTGAGCACTGTTACCAAACATCCCCATGTCACACAGGTCATTGACCTTGAGCACTGTTACCAAACATCCCAATGTCACACAGGTCATTGACCTTGAGCACTATTACGAAACATCCCCATGTCACACAGGTCATTGGCCTTGAGCACTGTTACCAAACATCCCCATGTCACACAGGTCATTGACCTTGAGCACTGTTACCAAACATCCCAATGTCACACAGGTCATTGACCTTGAGCACTATTACAAAACATCCCCATGTCACACAGGTCATTGGCCTTGAGCACTGTTACCAAACATCCCCATGTCACACAGGTCATTGACCTTGAGCACTGTTACCAAACATCCCCATGTCACACAGGTCATTGACCTTGAGCACTGTTACCAAACATCCCCATATCACACAGGTCATTGACCTTGAGCACTATTACGAAACATCCCCATGTCACACAGGTCATTGGCCTTGAGCACTGTTACCAAACATCCCCATGTCACACAGGTCATTGACCTTGAGCACTGTTACCAAACATCCCCATGTCACACAGGTCATTGACCTTGAGCACTGTTACCAAACATCCCCATGTCATAGAGATCATTGACCTTGAGCACTGTTACCAAACATCCCCATGTCACACAGGTCATTGACCTTGAACACTGTTACCAAACATTCCTATGTCATAGAGGTCATTGACCTTGAGCACTGTTACCAAACATCCCCATGTCACACAGGTCATTGA